TCAGAGATGAGCACTGTGCTGTCTCGGATGCCCAGTTCACCTTGCATCCCACGGCGGGAACTGCCAATAGTCTGGGACCGAGGGAAGGTATGGCACATTTTTAGTGCCAGCTCTGATGATGTAACCTTAGCATTCACAGCTTTTCTGCCAGGAAAAAGCAAGGCAACTGGTTTAGAAATGATTTTTCCCTCTTCTAATATGCAACCAGAATCTAATGTTTTACATTTCTGACTGCTAGCTAATAATCTGCCTCCTCACTGTCCTCACCCTCGCCCTTCTTTAAGCGTAACTCACGCTGGCTCCATTTGCTCAACGAGAAGAACTTAAAGTCTAAGTCAAAGGACTGGTTTTGATTCCTTAGAAAACAAATGTATATAGTACATAAAATGTGTTTATTTCATAAATGTTCCTCATGCATGAAGAACACAAAGTTCTTCTCAGAAGTGTTTATTCTTCAACCTATATGTATGCACAGTGGGAGGCTTGAAAACAATAGGCATCTCTGCATCACAAGGGCATGCAAGCCATGTGCAACAGGGCTGTACAGCACCAGGCAACTATTCCTGGGTCCTGGAAAAACACAAATTATCAGAACATCATAAAATCATAATGCACTTGGGGGTTTTCGACCAATGTATCTGACAGATGTTCCTTTCATGGGGATGGTCTAATTTGGAGACATTTGGTACTCATATTGTTAAACTCTTTAGAGTATAACAAATTGATCCCTTTCCTTCATGTGATGACAATATCCTAAGTAGTATTTTTCTATTTCTATTTCTGGGACTTTGCCTACTGCACAGACAAGCTGGGGCAGAGTGATAATAGCCAGACAGGCCTGGAATTTCCCTTTGCCCATGTGCAGGGAGGTGGAGAAGCTAGACTTCTTTTGACCATTTTTAAATAATGTGTAACAGGCTCTTGGTCTCCTGGAGCTTCTGCCTGTAAGATATCCTACGTGGATCTTGGAACTTCTCAGAAAGCACCACAGCAGAACCTGAAAGAACAGATCCTCGGCAAGGGCTCCAGCCAGGCAAGTCTAGTTATGGATGCCCTTCCCATAGCTGAGAGTTGGCTGGGTAACACAAACCATAGGCAGCAAATGAAAGCTTAACACAATGTCCAAGATAATACTAATCCCCTTCACTCGGTTCTGAAAACTTATACCATGGCCACTGCCTTCCTGAAATGATATTATTTCTCTTTTATGCTCTGAACTCTGCAGGAATTACCTAGATACAACAGTCCCCTTTATCCATGAAGAATACGTTCCAGGACCCTTAGCAGATACCTTAAACCACAGACAAATAGCACAGAAAAATTGTGATTGAATCACAAATACCCTAGGTTTTGCTATATACATGCTCAACTATGACAAAGTGCGACATTAACAATAACCACAATGAAACAGAACAATAGCAACTTCTATGGTCTAACGTGCAAGAGAAAACTAGCACGGGTTTCTCCTCCACAGTTTCCTGGAACAAGATCTGCTTACTGCAGAACAAGTGAACCGAATGGCGTCACACTTGTAGAGATCCTCCTCCTGCCTCTGCCTCCCAAGTGCTGGGATGTAAACACATGAGCACCATGCCTAGCTACATGCCCAGCTCCCATGCCCAGCCCAAGCTGAAAACTTTCACCTTTCCACTTTAAGTGAAATCACCTTAAGCAAGCCAGGGCTTCTCACTGGCATGCCGAATTACCAGCATCAGTATTCTTACACTTCGGGATATTATGAAGTAAAACAGGGTTTCTGAACACAGCCACTGTGAAGCCATGACAGCTAACCTGATAAGATATCTATGCACAGCATGGAAAAGCTGGACAAACAGGTGACTCCAATCCTAGGCAAGATGGAGCAGGATCACACAAGACTTCATAAAGCTTCTTAATATGATATACAAGTTAAAACTTATAAATTGTTTATTTCTAAACAATTCCACTTAATATTTTCAGATAATATTCATCCTCAGTAGGTTGTGGATAACTGGAATCCCCAGAACATGCAACCACAGACAAGAGGTTAGGGCACTACTGAAATCAGTTTAGCAAGTGTGTAAGCCCTCACCGAACTACACCTAAAGTTCTCTTCATTGTAACACTTCTCTAACATGCTGAAAACTTCTACTTGAAGATATAGGAATGTCTGGCTGTTTGCTTTAGTATTTAGTATTAGAAAAATAACATTAGGTTAAAGCTTTCAGTATAACCATTTCAATTTGGGGGTGAGAATTACATACTAACTTATAAGACTGTCAAAATTAAGCCATTGTTGTGCAAGACACTTTGGGATGGCGCACATATTCATCAATCTGAGAGGCATGCAGCTCAGCAAAGGATTAAGGAAATGTCCATCACATGTAGTCAGATGGTAAGATGACGACAAATTTCACATGGTAGGGGAGGGAGGGTAGAGCACTCAGAGGCAGCACTGGTAGTGAGAACATTTGAGCAAAGCCATATAGAATGTGTGCATTTTCCCAGGATGGGGAGACTACTACACTGTGTACAAGAGGAACAATTTTAGACACTGAAGACATAGTAGCAAGAGTGATGAACTGAGAACATTTCAGCTGAAAAGACAGACTAGGTGAGGGGAACAACAGAGGTGGTGAGAAAGATTGCTATCGCTAGTCCTCCGCATAAGGAGGGGCACACTGAGAGCTGGGGTTCTCTTTGATTTTCAGTTGAGCATCTCTATATAGCCTCACACTCACAGAGATCCACCTGCCTCTGCCTCCACAGTGCTGGGATTAGAGGTGTGTGCCACCACATCCAGCCTAAGCGCTGGGTTTTAGAAATAAAAAAAAGGTGACTTGAAATATACCTTTCCTTACTCAATTGTTTTACCACATTTTAGGTTTTTAAAATAAGGATATTTTATTGCAAACTAGGCACAGTCACTCCAAAGAAATAACCTGGGTTCCATTCAGGAGAACAACAGAAATATTTCTGGGCTTTAGTGGCACAGGCTGGCAATCCCAGCAGCTCGGGAGCAGGATTTCGGTCCGAGGCCAGCCTGGGCTACATTATGGCCAGCTTGGGGAAGTTAGTAAGAAACAATTTCTAACTCAACAATAAACACTAGATTGGAGATACAGCTCAACAGCAGAGCCCTTGCACAACGTGTGTGAGCCCCTACATTCTACCCCCATTGCCACCAAACAGCATTCTTCCAAGAAGGCAATGACCCGCTTATGGTAAACTAACATACTCATTTCTCAGACATCTTGGGATGGTGTTCTCTCCCTTTCTCATCACCAGAACATCTGAATTTAACTCATTAAGTTCATACTGAGTGTCCATGACCAGTGCGTGCTCACGTCATGCCATCCTTTCCGTTTCTCCTCCCACTCCCTGTCACTTACCCACCTACTCATTCATCTGCCATGATCTCTAATGGAAAATGGCAGCAGTAATAGTTACTATCTGGGGAGAATTGTCCCTGTACCAGGCTCTACACCTAATGCTCTACGAACAGTACTTAATATCATTCTAAAAATGACATTATTAAATAAGCACCAGTATTTCTATTTCATGAAACAGTAAGATCCGAGGCATTAATACTTCACTAGTTGCTAAGGGACAAAACCTGGGTGTATGCAGCTCTGTTGGACTCCAGAACCTCTTTCTCTTAGACTGCATTGTTGCCTCCAGCTTATATGGCCTTTGATTAACATGGGTCAGTATTTTAAGTTAAAAATTCATGCACTGGGCAAGGCAAAATACAGTCTTGCTACTGTAAAACACTCCACTCTAGCTGCTATTGGAGGTATATAAATAAACGAGAGAATGCCTGTACATCACAGACTTTCACAATCTCCCACATTTGGGTAGAAGCAGCTGCATCCTATCAGTTTGTAAGATGGGGTGTCCATGACTCACAACTTAGAGCAGCTGAGGTCAGAGGGCATGAAGACGGCTCAGTATATTAATGTCAGATGACAAGCACATCTAGTCTCAGACAGAAATCTGCCAACTCTGACTGAATGACCTACAGGGAACTCTAATAATGCATTTCAGTCAGAACCTGTAAAAAATTCTCTGTTGATGAAAAATGTGTCTTGTCAGAAGTTCCCAACCAAATCTGTTTATGATCCATTTTTAATGAACCTCAGCATCCTTTGAAGTGGAATAAATTACTAAAGCATTTAGCCAACAATAAGCACATTGTGAAGGGAGTCTTTATAAAACTCATTCCTAATGAGAAAAGTTACTTGGTTAGACACAAGCATGATAGCAAGCTGTTTGGACTATGTGACTGGGCAGCGCATAAAACCATACAGAGCTATTTAAACAAAGAAAGACTATCATCATTTTAAAATATCTACTTTTAATATTACCTTTATCAGTTCCTGATTAACTTCTTGTTTAATATCCTAAAGAAACTGGTTATACTTTCACAAATAACTCTGATAGTTTCAAATATATAAGTTAGGCCAGATATTATTCAGCAGTCCTCCTCAGGCTATAGCTACAGCTTCCCCCTGGGGACACCCCAAGACAGTAGCAATTTGGACTTGCTGTACCTACAATTCTCTCAAGGATTCAGAGGTGCAATATAGAGACTATAAATTGCATTAATAAGATTCACCTTGCAAATACTATCTGCATGTACTGTGCTACCAATGCTTTCAACCCAGAGCTGGAGAGCCGGCTTAGCAGTTGAGCATTGGCTACTCCTGCAGAGGGCCTGGTTCAAATCCCAGTACCCACATGGCACAGCTTACAACGGCCTGTAACTCCAGCTCCAGAGGACCTGATGCCCTCTTCTGGCCTCTGTTTATACGTCTATTCAAGTGCTGCACTTACACTCAGGTGTGTGGACTTGTGACCACACAAAAGAAAAACATCTTTTAAAAAGTCCCCAAATAAACAAATTTCTGAGAAAAGAAAACATAAAAAAAATATTAAGAGCTCACACTTCATAAAAGTGAGACAGATGGCTTACTAAGTAGAAGCATCTGGCTCATTAGGTCAATGACACTGACACTTACTGCTCAATTCGGGGTGACAAGTACAACTTGGGGTACACTTGGGTGGCTTCAGTATCCTCAAAACTGACAGAAAGGAGGGCCACATCTTCTCCAGGGTCTTCATTTACATCCTTAGAAAGGAAGTGAAAAACAATATGAGCACCTGTTCTAGAACACTTTTGATTTTTTGAGACAGGGTCCCATTATGTAGCCCAACCTGGCCTCAAATTCAAGATCTCCCTGCCTCCCAGAAGTCAAGTCTACAGCCTATATCATCATGCCCAGCTTACTCTAGGATCTCATCAGTGATGAGCTCACAGCCTACCGACATGAAACCATGGTCGTGAGTTGTCTTCATTCAACGGTCCAGCTTACCCTTACCTCACTCATCAGGTTGGTGCCTGTTAAACTTCTTGACCAAAGCCTACTACAATAAAGCACACAGTCCTCAACTATTTCAACTATTTCACTTGTTTCCATGTAGGAAGCAGGGGAACGAATGTGATGGTAGCAGGTTAGACAGAAGCAGAGTTAACACATCCAATACATACATTTCTAAAAACATAATTTATATCTTAGAACACCAGCAAAATATTAAAATAACCTCGTTATACCTACCTTTGTAATATGCTATATGTTATTTAAATAGCAAGAATCCAGAGGAAGTATATTTCTGTGAAGTAGAAAATACACCAGCCACTACATAAACAAAAGGCTAGGTGGGGTAGGTGCACATCCACTTTAACAAAGGGTGGATGATTTACTTGGGAACTGCAACAGACACTTATCATATATGTTCAGTTATGAGAATGTTTTAAGACAAACTCCCTATTAATCCAATAATTACAATTGCTGGTCAGAGGACACCTGGAGGTTAGTGGTTAAATGAATTGATAAGTATTGAACATCGGACTCACAACTGAATATCAGAACTAATTTGATGAAGTATTGATGATGCACAGATGAAGTGGACTGAATCAAAATTGGAAACTTTTAACTATGTGCCAAGTATCAAGCTGTCTGCCAGAGTTCTGATGCTGCTGAATCAGAGTAACTCTAAAGCATACCAACTTTAATCTGATATACCATATTTCCATAACCCCTAGTAACCTGGCAGTGTCACCAAGTCAAGTACAAAGCCTAAAACACTAGAACTGGATGTCATTCTCAGGTTAGGAATGGTAAAAACTGGCCTGTAATTTTCAATCAGTTTGCAGGTCCTGGGGGCAGGAGGTTCAGCCAAAAAAGGAAAGGGTCCCAGCCTAGGCCTGATCTGTGTGTGAGCACTGAGAGCTTCAGAGGCCTCCATCTGCCCAAGTCCCACTCTTTCCCGCATCTTGGGAAGCTGGTCAACACACATACTGCTCAGTGTGGACATCTTCAGTATCCTTCCCTAGTTTCTTACTGTGCATGTGTGTCACGTATACACAGGAACAAGGATCGTCAAGTCTCTCACATATTTAAAAAATAGAAATTAGAAGGAAATAAGAAGCAAGGGTTATTTAGGAATATGTCGGTTCCACTTGCTGCAGCCATCTCCATGGCTAAGCTTTCCGCTGCCTGGGCCTTGGCCCCATGTCTACATCTTCCTGCAACAGAATTTGCTCACCAGCCTAGAGCACAGTGGACACACCGGAGGGTCCTGGTGCCTGCATGAGATGAGGGGCTACATTGAGAAGCACAGCAACCACAGAAAGCTGAGAAACACCAAAGAACAACCCACAACCATGTCTCGCTTCTGTCTTAAAGCTGCTCAAAGGGCCAGTCCTTTGCTTCCAAGGTTAGGATGGGGGCTATACAAGAATGTCGCAAATTCCAAATAAGGGTGGACAAGATCAGGTCAAGATGGCAGAGGTGTAATTTGAATCATCCCCACACTCTGCTTCTGCCTCACAGAGGCAGAAACCTTACTCTCCAATAGCAGCTACAGCAGGAGCCCCACCATAAGCAGGAAACAAGCCCGCACAGTTCCCACTGGGTTCAAACACCGAAGATATAACTGGAGCTGGAGAGCACATGGCTCAGCGTCTGTGCCCACAGGCCCATGGAGCACTTGTAGTTTGTGGAAACCAGAAGACCAACTGTAAAACAGATGCCTTAATGGGCTCAGACCTTTCTGCTGAGTCAATTGCCTGCTCTGGATGAAACACAGAAGAATACATAGAAGAGAGGAGGAGAATCATGCTGGGCTATACAGAGGCTCAATGTAACAAATTGAGGGAGGCACAAAAATCTTGACAAAAGGAAAAAGTTTCTGAACAGGCAATAAGCAAAGTTTAATTCAAAGTCAAATGTAAAGTTCATCCAAGGTGTTTTGAGCAGAGCTTGTCCACAAGGCATGTGCGACCTCATGTCCTGCTCCTAACATACAACTTGTACACTTTGTACTGTGTATCCCATCATACCATACATACCAGGATTATGTCCTGAAACAGCTGAGCTCAGACTTGAGACACTGTATGTCATGAGCTATAGTGGTTTTATACAAACACAATGACTTAATTACAAAAACAAAAACTGTTTTTCTACAACATTCCTCAGCAAGTACCAAATCAGTGTATTTTGGGATTCTACTGAATTATAATATCTGATTTTAAGAACTGTTGTTTTAATTGCTGACTTGAGTTTCAGTTTTTAAAAAAGTCTCAATTAATTGTGGTTTGGGTTTATTTTCTAACCATGTCTCTGCTATTTTGTGCCTTATATTATACAAAAAAATGTATCTGTAACACTGAAGGTGACAAGATCAAAATGTTCATCAATTCAAATATTCACCCAATACTTATGTCTTTATGTAAAAATAAACAAACACACCAACTCACCAGTATGTAAATTTGCTTTTGATTTAAATACATTGTAAAATTACGTGTCTACCAAAAATTTTTCTTTGAAACATATTTTCTTAAGACATTTATCAACAAATGTTTGACATGTATACACATTTTATTTATTTATTTTTATTTTTTTTTGGTTTTTCGAGACAGGGTTTCTCTGTGGCTTTGGAGCCTGTCCTGGAACTAGCTCTGTAGACCAGGCTAGTCTCAAGCTCACAGAGATCCGCCTGCCTCTGCCTACCGAGTGCTGGGATTAAAGGCGTGCGCCACCATCGCCTGGCCATGTATACACATTTTATATAGCTTTATAAACAGGATTGTATAAGAAGTTATCAGGTAAAAAGGAGCCTTGAGTGGAAAGAGTTAATAAAAAAAAAAAAGCCATGTCCTGGATCACTGGCATACCCTAGGACTGTGTTGGTCAATGTACTGACTTCCTAGGACACCTACTTACACAGTGCGAGCTCTGCCTCCAGTTCGTCTGCTCTCTGGCAGCTGGCCACAGGGATGGCCACTGGCCTCCAAGGGATCTTCTCTCTTTTTCTTCCGTTTTTAATTCTAAAAAACATGATTCTGATTTTCTGTCTCATGCTTTTGGCTCTTCCATTTTCATCTTTCTCTTTTTAAGTTCTTAAATTGTTTTTTGTTTGTTTGGTTCGTTGGTTTTACACTACAAAAATTAGTCTTTTTTCTTTAAACAAGCCCAACCATATAGGAATTTATTTTAAAAGTAGTTCTTCCATTGCTGCCTGCCACTTATTTTTCAAAGTAATCAATATTAACAGTGTTACCTCAGACAGCTTTCCTAGGTCACAAATATCTTCTATTTCAGTAGAATTTATATTGGATTAGACTTGGATTGTTTTAACTGAACAATTTCCAGAAACGCAGATTTGGGCCAATGCACATGGACAACAGTGTGCGCGAGCCTGTTGCCTCCCTGTGCAGTGGTGACGTGCTAACACTGCCATCACTCTCTCATTCTTTCTAAATTAGTATTGGCAGTTTGACAGCAGAGACAGTATCCCAGTTCAGATTCAATGTTGAGCTGAGCGACCTTTCACTTGTTTCTTGGACATCCACATTTCTTCTATATAACGAGAAGTCCACTGTTGGCCTGTCTTTAAGGCATTCAGATCTTTAGCGTTGGCTAATAATTTTATTAGCCTTCTCCTACAGCATGTGTTATATATATTTTCTCTCATTCTAGCTTTAGGCATTTTTTGAGGCTCTTCACAGAAAAATTCAGATATTTTTACAAATGAAATTAAGTCTAGTCAATAACATGACATTAATGTTGCTTTAGTTTTTCATTTAATGCTATATTTTCAGGAAAAGGTAGAATATATTTTATGCCTCATGACATGAAGCATGACTTTCTGCTTGTTTGCTCATTTGCTTGCTTTATTCAAACGAGAGGAGGGAGGAGGGAGAGGATGCAGTGAGAAGAACCAGGCCGACCAGTGCTTGGCAGTACAAACCCCATGTTGGCTGACTGTACAAGTCAAAAGACTAACAAATATGAATTCTTGCCTTTTGTTCTCTGCATCTAATGATAACTTTTGGAACCGCTTTCTGCAGGCGCTATCAGCAGTGAAGTCTGGAGTGCTGACCCTTGTCCCTCCCCTGACAACAAAGTTCTATAGGGACTGATGGTTTTAACTGCAGAGCCCAGAATGAGAGTCTAAACTTTCTTATGTCTCCTTGTTCTTTTATATAATGTAAAATATTCAACATGGAATCCTCTTTTCTATGAAATGAGGAATGAAACTGAGAAAAAATACTTAGGATACTCAACACTCAGAATCCACCTAATTATGTGACTCTAACACTTAAAGAATATCCAAGATCAAAGAAATGCCATCTACATAGCTTCAGCCTGCGATCCACGGGTAGAGGGGTCATCATGCTTAGAGTGGCAGACATGAGGAAGGTAAAGAAAAGAAACCACACTGACTGCCAGTGTCAGCCTTGGAGTTCCACTGTGACATGTCAAAGTTGGAAGCTATGATCCAGGTCAAAAACCCTGCAAAAACACACTACAGAAAAAAAAAAAAAATTCCCAGGGGCCACCGAGGTCCTTTATCACTGGCAGCTTCATTCCATATCCTACGGATAATTTCTAATTATTTCTCTTACTACCTTTTAAATTTTCCTCTTCACTATCATTCAAATAAAGAAGACAAATGCTTGAAGACAGTCCTTCAAAAGGATGACTCTGGTTTCCATGGTCAACCCTTACATCTGATGGTCTGCAGAAAAGGTGCCTGAGCCACGGGTCCGGTTGTTTCTGTCTG